GAGTGAGATTTAAATAGCTTTCCATTCGGCGATTGAATATCTCCGCGCATAGCCTGCTGACGTTTCTTCTTGCGATTCTTCATCCAGGAGATGGAGAAGCAAGCAACTCCCACCAGAAGCAACATGAAACAGCAGAGGAAAACGAGGATGAGAACAAGCATGGTTGGACCCTGATAGGGAGGTGGCTCAATTGGTCTGAGTGCTCCAATATTTGGATTGTGAATTGGATCGTCCGGTTCAACTACTTCTTCTGGTTCAAGGTTAGGATTGTAGTTGTTAACGGGATCATTTTTCTCAGCAGGTGGTATGGAAGACGGAGGATTTACTACAACATTAATAAATGAAATTTAATGTTTTTTTTATCAAATGTTAACACCTAAAAATAGGCAGTTTTAAAGCAATACCATTCTACAGCGAAAAAGAAAGATTTGTTTTAATTTATTTTATTAATATAATTTGTGTTTACTTATAATCTGTTTATGATACTGTCTTTCAATGCAATGAAGACCTTAATCAGGAGAGAATTCAAGACCTCAAGGTTCAACGAACTTAAAGCTCGAACAAAGGAGAAACAGTGGATCAACGAATTAAAGCTCGTACAAAGGAGAAACAGTGGACAGTGGCACTCTCCACTGAGTTTAGACTTTGGCCAAGAATCGAAGCCGTTGCTGAGTTTAGACTACGTACGGACGGATTGCCTGGCAAAACACCTTCAAAGATTGGGAGTATACAGTCAAGGTGCAACGAACTTAAAGCTCGAACAAAGGAGAACACTCTCCGACATAGCCGACTGGAAGAGAATTCAAGACCTCAAGGTGCAACGAACTCAAAGCTCGAACAAGGGAGAAATAGTGGACAGTGGCACTCTCCGAAATAGCCGACTGGCTAAGAATCGAAGCCGTTGCTGAGTTTAGAGTGGCACTCTACCACATAGCCGAATGGCCAAGAATCGAAGCCGTTGCTGAGTTTAGACTTTGGCCAAGAATCGAAGCCGTTACTGAGTTTAGACTACGTACCGGACGCGATTGCCTGTCGAAGCACCTTCACAGATTAGGAGCATACACTCAAACAACATTCCCCTATGTACCCTACACAAGGAAATGGAGAAGACTCACCTGATTCGATGTCCAGCCCTAAAGACAATGACGGAAAGCCAGAGATACTGAGAAGCCAGTAGACATCTAATGAACTGTTATTAAATTAACTGCTAAATAAGCTCCCCCCTTGTGAAAGCCGAAGTCAAGTAAGGGCTAATGACAAATATTATTATGTATATTATGTATTATTATAATACATGTTTACGATACTTACAACCTAATTGTAATTTATAAAAGAATTGAGGTGTCTAGTTAAGTATAAGTTTCTAATGCCAATATAAATTGGGCTGTAGAGACCAAAATAAGAAGATTGTAAAATTGGCCCAATCAAAATATTGATACACTACCCAACGCTTGACTTTGACAAAATTCCAGGTAAATTTAAGTAATATAATCGAAAATAAGAGATGAGTAACATCTTCTAACTTGGCGCTAGCATAAACTAGACTGGAACTTTTTTCACTTAGATCTACTTCAACAACACTCACGTCGGATTATATAAGATTATGTACTTAATACAATAGGCTAGTTAAGGAAATATGCCCTTTAAATTCTTCTGTTGTACAGAAGATTCGTATATTGTAAAGGTCAGGCAGGCAGGCAAAACAATGGCAACACACACACACACACACGAAATGCCATTAATCAGACTAACAGGTATCTAGACGCCTGGCAGCAGCACACACGCTGGCCAAACCCCACTGACTGTTTGATTACTTTGTAAACACGCAAATCAATTGTCACTTGTGTGTGTGTGTGTGTGCGCACCGATTGTTCCTTTAGAAGTTATGGGCTATCGGTGGCCACATTTCAAGCGCGGATTTTGCAAAAAATCAATTGCGTCTTTACTCATATGGTGTAAAGAGATACACTTACCATTGCCATGGGCCGATATTCCCGTCGAACCCTCTTTCTCAACTTTACCACCGAGATCAGTTTCCTTCCCAGCAACTGCAGAAGAGAGAGAGAGAGAGAGGTAAAGGAACAGGTTAGGGTAGGTTAACTGAATATTTATAGTAAGTCTATTAATGTAACCTCGGGAAGACAAGATAACGCTTCCTCAATTAGTAGCAACCTTATTCGCGCGATCAAACTATCACTAATGTTAGTATGACACTGACAAATGCCAACCACGTCCAAATTCTTGTCTTTCGCATATAAAAAACGTGATTCCAAATTGCGCATATAATTTTATCTTCATTCAAATACGCGTTTTGTAAGCGTTCTTATTCAATCAGTGTTTATTAAATATTAACTTTTAAGAAGTATGCAAAAAAAGAACCATATGAGATATTCATCGCCCCTGAGCTAATCGATAAAACTATCTAGTAATTAGTAATCTGGTGAGTTCTCCACAAATTAGAAGTGATAAATTCAAAGAGTATTCTTTATTTACCGCTGATAAACCTTGTTTCACTGAGAATAATCCATTCATCGGCAAAGAAGAGCTTCAATTGAACGGATCGTCCACTCTTTGCGTTCAAATCAATAATTAGAGGATCCGCAGTATAGGAGTGAACGTCTGAGGCGATGTCTGGAGTAGATGGAAAAGTTGTTCCGTCGATGCTGAATGAAAGCTCAATCCGTCGTGGAATTCGAATCTGGAGGATTAAGAGAATGCTCATCTGAATAAGACTCTCACCATGAAAGACAGATTTCAACAAGTGGCTTAATTGAGCAAGCACAGTTGAGTCCACTTGCTGAATAGCAAAATTGAATAAAGAACTTCAACGTAGATGAAGGGGGGAATGGGAGGAGTTCGATAATTAAACTCAACTCCTCCTGCATTTATAATTAACCCATTATTTTCTGGCTAGAAATCTATTTCACTTTTAGTAAAGCCTTTAAAGCGCCCATCGTTTCATCTTTTATCTCTTGCATTAACGCATAATAAATGGCAACATTTACACTTTATAGCTCCCATTTTTTATGCCACAAATATTTCGATTTTGAAATCAGATAAAACAAAAAAAGCCATTAATTCTTACAAAAGTGCATAACTTATTTCTCTAAGTCATAATACCCCCACACTTAAATCAAAATGCTGTAGTTATTACTTTTTTCGTTTAAAATAATAAAAAAAAATAAAGCTATTTGTTTAGCGCCTCGGTGAGGAAGGATTTAATTAGAAAATTTGAAGAAAAAAGAAGCATTAAATATTCATCATTTCGAAAATTAAAAAAATTATTTCCCCAGAGACTTGGTTGCCTAGCTCGAAACCTTTAAATTATTACCCAGGGTTCGAAAAAATGGTTTTACTAACTATAAGACGCTGCTAGCCTTTATGATCCCTTAAGAGGGGTGTGTGATAGACTTACCTCCACGTGGTGCACCCTGGGCAACGTATACTCATGCGGCAAAAAAGTCTATTGACTGGCAGTTGACTTCAAACTACCATGACCCCACTGTATGTGGTCATATTCGACTACTTCCACAGTACTCATCCCACCTTTTTTCCACCTTATCTACCTTCGTCTTTGATGCACTCTTCTGTCCCCCCCCCTTTTGAATTTTCTACACTTTGATGTTCCTTCCCCTCTGTGAAGACCGAAGTCAACTAAAGGGCTAACGATAACAATTAAAACGCCTGCCATTTGATAAAATAATAATAATTATTATAATAATGATCCCTTAAGTTGGAGGGAGCTTAAGGAATCTCTACTCCACAGTTTAGTTAATGGTTTCGATGTGCCATTGTCGCTTTATTTTATTCATCTTAGTTTAAGATAAATACATAAGCATCTAGTAATTTTGGCGTTAGGAAACAATTATATGGACCATAATACCTTTTGTCACCAAAAAACACCATTATAGCACAGTTTTCGGGCTTACAATAAAACTTCCGTTAAATTCATGAAAGCTTCAAATTTTAGATCCCAAAAGAAATGCATAATTGCAAGTTTATTCAGGGCAAAAATAAGGGGGAACCTTAAACTCAACCTGACATCATGAGTTTAGACAAACAAATGAAATGACTGTATGTCTTAGAAAAGTGGAGTCCATTGCATCATCACAAGATTGTTCCAGTTGACAAGAGGAGTGGTAAAATGTGATTTTCACATAGGAGAAGCTTGTGGATACCTTCATCTTCACCCAAGTCAAATGTTGTCAGTACGCAGTAACGGAGATATACATAAATTAGAAATACTTTTTTTTCAAAACCCTCGTTGTAAAACAGATTTTTAAATTACCCATCACCATTATTGGGGCTTCAGTAACTGAAATACAAAAAAAACACTACTTGAATCCAGGACTTAAAAAGATGAAAGAAGCCGAAAGCATTTGGGATTATAGTGAAACATTCAACAAAATCATTTTTATACCCCAGAAAGTAAGCTTGATTGTCTAAATCCAACTCTGATGCCGATCGTGTCGCCTTTGAAGATTAATAATTGGAAGCGTTGTGTAAACCACCACTTGAGAAAAAAACGCGGTTTGTAGTCTTATTAATATTGCTTGGCTTCTGTGAGAAAAAATTACACCAAACTCCTCTGAAATATCTTTTACTCGGAAAAGAGTGAGAATAAAATGAGCACTTGGGTAGTTTCTTACAACAGCACCGCGGTAGTAAAGTAGCAAAGGTGGTGTGTATGGCATGGTGTACGACTTCAAGTATATGTCACATACAAATCAGAAACGCCAGTCGTAAAAGTGTCAGTCTTGTTCTGTGTGAAAAATTCACAGTTGCAGCTTGTTAGGCTCCGTGTACGCGCCGTGAGATATCACCAACCTCACCAGACCACCGCGTATGCCTCTTCAGGCGTATGTCATTGTTTTTTTTTCAATAGAAAGCCTAACTTGACCTCTTGACAATCGATGGGCATTTATTAATCGTTTATTGATTAACTCATACCAATCTACTTTGGCAATCCTGGGGTGTGCGATAGACTTACCTCCACGTGGTGCACCCTGACAAGGGGTGTGCGATAGACTTACCTCCACGTGGTGCACCCTGGTGGGTGTGCGATAGACTTACCTCCACGTGGTGCACCCTGGGAAACGTATACTCATACGGTAAAAAGTCTATTAACCGGAAGTTTGTGTGCGATAGACTTACCTCCACGTGGTGCACCCTGGGCAGCGTATTTTCTTACGGCAAAAAAGTCTATCACTCGGCTTTCGTTATATTCATACGGCAAAAAGTCTATTAACTGGCAGTTAACTACGATAGACTTACCTCCACGTGGTGCACCCTGGGCAACGTACTTTCTTACGGCAAAAATTCTATCACTCGGCATTCGTTTTTCAATAGACTTACCTCCACGTGGTGCACCCTGGGCAACGTATATTCATACGGCAAAGTCTATTAACTGGTAGTTGACTTCTCCGCATACGGCAAAAAAGTCTATTAACCGGCAGTTTTCTTCTCACTTCAAACTACCATGACCCCCCTATATGTCCTACATTCTCATACGGCAAAAAAGTCTATTAACCGGCATTTGACATGACTTCAAACTACAATCACCCCACTGTATGTCAAATTCGACTTCTAACTTTAAACTACCATCACCCCACTGTATTTCATATTCGACTAATTCACAGTATTCACCTCACCTTTTTTCTACCTTTGCGCCTGTCTGTCTCTTTTACGTCTGTGAATCATTATTCTGTCCCCCTCTCGACTTTTTGCCACTTTGATGTTCCTCTTCCTTTCTGTGAAACCCGAAGGGCTAGCGATACCTATCATAACGCCCGCCATTTGAAATAAATAAACTTTGACAAGCCTTTACCTTTCGCAAGTTCAGATTAACGAGGATGATGATAAGTTCACAATGAAGACGACTCACCAAGACTGAGTTACACCATGAGAAAATGCAGACCTTTGCCTTTACTGACGTCGAGACAATTAATGAAAAATTTAAACACGAAGATTGATTCCTTTATTCCTCTGTACTAACCTCACTAATATGAATAAATCCAAAAGAACGACAAAATTTCCCCCCACATATGCCATGAAAAGATTTGACTTTTGAATAAACCCAGAAAAGGTGATATTTACAATAACACAAGTTTGAAACGGCGAGAAATCTTTTACAAAAAAACAGTGCAATGAAGGAAGTACGGAGGTTTCACACCTTTGAAAAAACGGAAAAAGGTACAACCTTATCTTTCAAATCTTCTTAATGAAATGTGATACCTAAGTTTAAAGGCCCTTTTTTAAAATAAAATGAAGAAATTTCTAGTGAAAAGACTTTGAAGGTCATCGAAATATACGTTAGACACATTTCTCATACCTTTTTAGCAGGCAAATTCAAGGCATAGAGGTGTAGGGCTTGAAAAGTTCGAAGACCCGAAAATCGATAAACAAGATCCACGACTGGCGAAGGTGATCTCCGAGCCTCCTCCCACCTTGAACGATTCCATCCAACCAGACAGTCTCCGTCTGTGACAGTCGCAGCTCCAGATCTCTCCGAGTCATGTTGCCAAGGCGATAAATCAAAGGCTTTTGTCGAGGTAGAAACACGAGAGTCAGAAAGACATCCGAGACCATTATGGAGGATTCCACCCCTAGGATCGCTTTGACCTTCGTAGCAGGTGTCACGTAGATTGATAGGTGCCGAGCCATATGAAGTGGAGGTGAAATCACTGCCACCTGGTATCTTGTATTCCACCAATTCGTCTAGAAATTGAGAAAACATTACATTCCAAGTGTGTGTGTGTGTGTGTGTGTGTGTGTGAATAAATTAATTATCTGATGATAATATGAGGCACCAAGTTAAGGGAATACAGTCCGCCTAACCTGAAAATCGGCAACCGTAGAATTGGAATTTGGCACAGACGTACATAGGCTTTTGAGTATAGGGATAGATCCGAACCCATCGAGCAATAATAGGTGGATTAAGTGAAATCAATTTGAGATCAAGGTTGCTTTCCACGCCTGAAAGTATTAGCGTCTAAAAGGAAGGAACATTTCTTAATCGAAACCTGGAGAACAAAGATCAACAACATAGATAAAACGAGAAAGGAAAGGAACTTTGTGTGATTAAGGAATGTGGCATGCCTTTACCCGTTTTCCCCAGGAATTAGAATGGCGATTGTTTGAAATATTTTCAGCAAATCTTTTCAACAATTGTTCTTCTTAAAACAACTTCACTGCACTTTGCTAAATGTGCATTAGGGACCTGGTAAAATTTGGGGAATTTTCAGAGCGGCAATTTATTTCTTTTAAAGAAATATCCACCCCCCCCCCTGAAACAAACAATACGGCGTAGATAGGTTGGTAATAATATTTTTAATCCCGATATTGAAGTGAGATATAAAAATTCTTCAAAAGGATTGCTTTGTAGTCGTAATCTTAAGAACTCTCTTACATCTGTCACCCAAACGCTTTGCTGTAGCGAAGTGAAAGAGATTTTATGGCTAAGCCTGCATAAAATGCGTTAGTGTACCATATCGAGATCACTTCATTTCCCCAAAAAGTGTTGAGCTTATGGGCTAGTTGAGCCAATCCAATATCACTGAT